AATCCAGAGTCACTCACCACAGGGCCTGGGGGCCCGGCCTGACCTGTGGCTCCAGGACGACCTTGCTGGCCCTACAGATTTGAGGTGACCACAGAGGTCAGAAGGGGTGTCCCCTCCCATGGCACCTCACCCCTCCCTGCCCGGGCTCTGCACTCCATGACTCACCACTGAGCCTGGGAGGCCCCTCAGACCATCGGGACCAGGTTTTCCTGCTGGGCCTGCAGGACCCACGGGGCCTGTCTTTCCCGGGGCACCCACAGCACCAGGATCCCCCTGAAACACACATGAGGAATGTGTCCTAAGGGACAGAGAAAAGGGGTACGGGCAGGGGCAGGGAGCCCAAGGTAGACAGGGTGAGGCAGGGGGTAGGGCCTAAACCCCAGGAGCCCGGGGGGCAGGAGCAAGCACAGGGAACCTGTTCCCATGAGGGCTTCAGCCTGGGGGAGGAAGACAGAGAACTCAGAGGAGCAAAGGAGTGGGAGGAGGAGGGAATGCTCCAGCAGCCAGGGCAGCCTCCCCTCACCTTGGCTCCCTTCTCTCCTTGTCGTCCCTCAGGACCAGGTGTGCCAGCAGGACCCTGCAGATGGAGGGGGAGGGAAGAGGGATGAGGGAGCAGAGGCCCACTCACAGGCGGTGAGAGCCCGCACAGCTGGGCCAGTTGTTAAAGAGTTGGGTGGTTCTCAGCATCTGGCGAAGAGCCACTTAGTGCCCCACCTCCTACCCCAGCAACTAGAAGGTGACCACCTGACCTAGCAGAGCCTCCAGAAAGCCAGCCCTTCCTCCCTGTCTGTTCTGATTGGGGGGCACACACCAGCACCCCTGGCAAGAACTTCATACCCAATTCCAGGAACAAACATGCCCAGATATGCACAGCACACTGGTAAGCACGTGTCACACACCCCACGCAGGACAACCAGACTCCAGGCATCTCCCTGCCCATCCCACCTGCCATTGCCCATCCTCTGCCCACCCGCCAAGGACTGCCCCTGAACACCCCAGGTATCCAACTCACTTACCCGCTTTCCAAGTGGTCCAGGGGGTCCATTCTCCCCAGTGGGACCAGGGGATCCCTAGAGAGGGAAGAAGGGTAAGCAAACATTTAGCTTCCAGCCAAGGGACCCCTCAGGAGTGGGGCAGAGAAGAGGAGCAATGGGTCTGAAGACTCCAGCTCAGTGGTGGGGGAGTCACTGGTCACTCACAGGCTGCCCTGGCTCGCCGTCCTCTCCACGGTCACCCTTTGCACCATCTTGGCCCTGCAGGGATGAAGCAAGGTCACCTGAAAACTGCTGATCCTCCCATGCCTCCAGCTGCCCTGCCATACCTCCAGCTTCCAACAGCCAAGCCCATCAGCCCCACAGAAGCCCACCCACTTTGCCCCTCCCCCCCACCGGGCAAGACTCACCCGAGGGCCACCTTCCCCAGGAGGGCCAGGGTCACCAGGAAAACCAACAGGGCCCTAACACAGAGGGAGACCAAAAGTCAGGCTCACAACCGCCTAAGCCCACCCAGAGCCAACACAGACCCCTGTGGGCACATGCCACACTCCCTCTCTGCAGGCAGTGCCCACTGCACCACCTAGAAAGAGGGTGGTGCACCCCTCCCCATGCCTACATGCCCTCTAACACTTTGGGGAATTAACTAGAGGCATCTCTCATGTTCTCTCGCTCGGGATGCTAGGCTCCATATACCCTCCCCAGGAAACCCTATTCCCAGAGCTTTCCTCCCAGGTTGCCCCGCTCTTGGGCTCCCCACACTCCAAGATCCTCACACACATCCCCAGGTCTCCCATTCGCAGGACCCTCTTCTCAGCCCCTCCCCCAAACTCACAGGGTTCCCTTTGGGGCCATCATCCCCGGTGGGGCCTTTAGGCCCTGGCGGTCCCGCCTCTCCCGGCTGCCCGGACTCTCCTTTCTCCCCACGCTCCCCGCGTGGACCCTGGAGGACATTGGAGGGTACAGATGGTCCCAGGGAATCTTGTAGGTCAAGAATGCAGCCCCTGCTTCCAAGACACCTTCAGCTCCCCCAGCCCCAGTGACAGTAGGATGCACAGAGAAAGGCAGGCCCATGGGGGTCCCCTGGCACCTCTTTGCTTCAAGGAAAGGGTGACAGGACTCACTCAGACCCAGGGACCAGGCCTCATGGAGGAGGGCTGGGGCACAGACTCCAGGGCAGTGGAGGAGGTCCAGCTCCAGGTCACGGGAAAAGTGGGGGTGGGTTTGAGGGGGTGAAAGGGATTGGGAGGGATGCCTCAAAGCCATCACTCACCTTGACTCCTGGCTCCCCCTGGACCCCGGGAGATCCTGACTCTCCTGGCTCCCCCTGCAAGGAGACTGACATCAAAATCCTCCTTCCCTACAAAAATCCTGATAGTCCCCACACCTCACTCTCTTCTGACCCCCATCCAAAGCTGGCAGAAGTCCAACTCCCGTGCCCTCCAAGACCAGGCCATTCACCCCTTCCTAGTTACCTTCTCTCCAGGGGGACCCAGGTTCCCGACACCTCCTGGGGGACCTTGAGGACCCTGGAAGAGGAACAGAAATAGGGATCATAGCTCTGGGGATGAGGTGCCATTCCAGGGGCGGGGCCAGGATGAGGGCCGAGGTCACCGCAGTGAGACAGTGGGAGGCCTTCCCAGGGGCAGGGGCTTTTAGTGGCCCCTGAGAGGAGACTAGAGTTTATAGTCCGGAAAACGGGAGGCAGAGGACTGGCCACATTGGTCTGAAGGGATGAGAGGCTGAGAGGACTCACATCAGCTCCATTGGGTCCAGCTGGGCCTCGAGGTCCTGGGGGGCCAGGTGGTCCCTGGGGAGAAACAGATTCACCAGAGACAGGCAGGGAGGTGAGGGGGACAGCGCTGGGTGCAGGGGAATTGTGGAGGGGTGGGAGGGGCAGAGATCCTGGGCCCGGAAGAGGAGGGGCAGCCAGGCCAGGGAGCAGGGGTCAGTGGCAATGGGGTGCTGGGGTGGGCTGGATGGGCGGCGGTGACCAGTAGGTGGGGCTGGGGCCGGTTGGGGTCACACACCACCAGTGGGGTCACACTCACCATAGGGCCCACGTCTCCTGTTTCTCCCTTCTCCCCCGAGGGGCCTGGCAAACCCTGTGCAGGTGCACACAGCACAGACCAGGTGAGCACCCCGCCCGGGCCCCCAGCTCTCCCCTCAGGTCCCACATGCTGCCCTCATCCTCACCTCACCTCCCCTTTCCTCGTCAGAATGGGGCTCCTCACCCCAACTCACCTGTAGGCCAATGGGTCCTGGGGGCCCATTGAATCCTCTTGTTCCTTCATCACCTTTGGCTCCAAAATGTCCTTGGGGTCCCCGGGCTCCGGGCTCCCCATCTGCTCCCTGAGGTGGGGGAAGGCAGGGACAAGGACCGTAGCCATAGGGTCAGGTGTTCTCCATCCACAAGCCCCGCACAGAGCTGGGCAGCAGGCCCAGGGCCCCCTGCTTTCACCCCCATCCCCAAAAGCAGAGGGAACTGGGGGCTGACTGGGGGCTGCCGGGCCTCTGGAGGGAGCACGGGGGCATCAGTCACTCACCGCTGCTCCAGGCTGCCCCACAGGACCCAGGGGCCCAGGGGGTCCAGGAGGGCCCTGGGGAGAAAGGAGAGTCAGAGGCGCCAAGACAGGGAGAGAGTCCAGGTGGGAAGGAGGTTGAAGACCAGAGGTCAGAAATCAAAGGTCACAGACACTTACGTGTTCGCCCTTGTTCCCTTTAGTGCCCTTCTGTCCAGGGTCTCCCACCTCACCCTGAAAGAAGGCAGAGGAGGGAGGGGGAGAGGGGGGACAGTGATGAGACGGGGTGGGGCCGTGTCCAGGTCTGCGATCTCATCTGGGAAGAATTTGGGTCCAGGGCTGTGGGTGCCCTCACCTTGTCTCCATCCTCTCCTGCCACTCCCGGGGGTCCAGCAGGGCCAGGAAGCCCCACAGGACCCTGCACCCCGTCGCGGCCCGTGGGACCAATGGGGCCCTTCTCACCCTGTGGGAAGTGAAGAGAGGAGTCATGGCCTGAAGATGACCCTTACCCTCAACCTCCCCCAGGAAACCCTCTGAGACACAGCAGCTCACAGACCCCTGGGGCCCCCACACTCACCGGGACACCTTTCTCTCCTGCTGCTCCGGGGGGACCCTGAGGTCCTGGGCGCCCTGGGGGGCCAATGGGTCCCCCAGATCCCGCTGCACCTCGTTCCCCAGGGGAGCCCTAAGAGGAAGTAGAGTCAGACCCCAAGGAGGAGGCCACAGCCTACCTACTCCAGAGGACCCTGACCATGGTTCCCAGGAGAATAGCCCAAACCACATGCATTATGGCTGACTCTGCACGCCCTGTGCCCACTCTTTACTCTTCCTCACCCACCCCCTTTCCTGGTTCCTCCCCACTGCCCCCTGAGGCCCCACTCACTGCAGGGCCAGGGGGACCGGCTGGACCTTCGTTTCCCTTCAAACCGGCTCCACCCTATGAACCAGAGATTCAGAGCAGGAGATGTGAGACAGGAAGGTGGGACATCACAGGGACAGGGTCTGGGAGACATGCAGGGCTAGGGGTGGGGACAGGCTCAGAGAGATAGGATCGGGGTGATTCTGAGGGGCGCCAGGGTCACGGTGACATTACAACTGGTGAGGTGAGGTCACTCACAGCAGTGCCAGGGAGGCCTCTCTCTCCTGGGAAGCCCCTCAGCCCAGCGGGACCATCCTTCCCTGGTGCCCCAGGAGGACCAGGGTCACCCTAAAAGGAAAGGAAAGGTGATGAGCCACAGCCATGCTCCCAAATTATGGAGAGAGATCTCTGACCCCCTCAAATCCCTGACCCTGGCCCCCAAGGTCCCCTCTGCCCCCTTACCAACATTTTTTATTGAATTTATTGTGGGTGACATTGATTCGCAAAAACATACAGGTTTCAGGTATACAGCTCAATAAAACAGCATCTGCACACGCATCGTGGCCATCGCCCCAAGCAGAGTCTCTTTCCGTCCCCACTTTCCACTGCTTTGCCCCAAATTATGGATCACTGCATGAACTTGCTGTCATCCTTGCACAGGGCCATGCTAATTTCTGTATTGGTCCAACTTTAGTACACGTGCTGCCAAAGCAAGCACCCCACTGACCTTGGTTCCTTCTTTTCCAGCTGTTCCCGTCAGTCCCTGCTCTCCAGGGGGGCCTGGGGGGCCTGGGTGACCTCTCTCACCCATGGGCCCAGTTTCTCCTGCCGCTCCCTGGGAAAGAGGTGGAAAGACTCCAATCTCGACCCTTCACCCCACTGTCTGCCCAAAGCAGCCCCCCTGGCCACCCTAAAATATCCCTCTAGAACCCCGGTATCCCTGCCCCAAAGCTGCTGGGAGATTCCTGGGGGCTCCCCGGGCCACCACTCTGGTTTCAGCCCCCAGTGTGGAGTGCCTACACCACCTGTGTCCCTGCTGGGGAACCGCCTCTTCTCCGAGCCCAGGAGATGAGAACTGGCCGAAGTTCAGCATCAGAGTCCAACCCAGCCCCACCCTTTACCCAGCAGGGCCAGGCCGGCTTGTGATGGGGAAAAGGGAGCAGGGCAGGCACGCCAGCTCCAGGTCTGGGGTCCTCTCTCTCCAGAGGACAGACATACCTGAGGTCCCACCACCCCTGGGGGGCCAGGGGGGCCAGTCTTCCCTTGGAAACCCTGAGAGAAAAAGAGAGGAGAGAGCAGTCAGAACACAGTCAGGATGGACACTGGGACAGACCCCAGGTCGCCGGAGGAAGGGCAGGGTCCCCATCACGTCCTTGGCCGTGGGGCTGAGCAGCGAGCACCAGGATGCTGTCCACTCTGCTGGGAGGGAGAACCTCCCTGGGAGGCCACCCAGACAGCTCTGGAGTGTGAGGGTCTCAGGGGCCAGGGCATCACTTACCACTTCTCCTCTCTGGCCCGGGTGTCCCGGCAGCCCGTCCTTCCCAGGGGGGCCCTGGAAGGGGTGCAGATGTCAGGTGAATTCTAGGCAAGGGAGGGAATGGGGAAGCACTCAGAGAACCAAAGTAGGCCAGAGGTCAGAGGTCAGCTTACCGGAGGTCCTTTAGGGCCAGGAAATCCGTTGGGGCCCTGAGGCCCAGGGAGGCCCTAGAGACAGAGCTGGGTTGAATCTGGAGAATGGGGTGGGATGCTGGGCAGGGGACACAGCTTCCTCCCTGGGGGAGAGGAAGTTGCTCCACTCAGGATCCCTGGGGCATATGGACCGGTACATGCCAGTCACACTCACCCTTTCTCCGGGGGGCCCGTGGGGGCCATCACCACCTGATGTTCCCTGCAGAAGGGGGAGACAGAGTCAGAGGATCTTCGGGGAAGCTGGGCTAAGGGGCAGGCCACCAATGGAGCCCTGCCAAGGCCACTAACCTTAGCTCCAGACTTTCCAGTGGCGCCTCGGGGTCCCCGCTGACCCCGTGGACCCTAGAAGAGGGGAGGGGAGTTGTCAGAAAAACCAACACACCCCTTTGGATCTTGAGGCACAGGTCTCTCTCCCCCTGCACTCACCGTGGGGCCCCGCTCTCCCCGAGGCCCTGATTTCCCAGACAGGCCCTGTGGGAAGGAAGAAGAGATATCACCCAGGGCGTGGAGCCCTACAGAGCAGCCCCCCACCCCCA